CAAACAATATTTTCTAAAGGTAAGGCTCTTATTTATTAATTTGCTAGTACTTTTGTCTATATTCCGTAACTATCATGTGTATGGAGGGCTTATTTCGTGTTGATGCAAAAATGGGACAACATGCACTAATGGTAATAATTACGACATGTATTTAGTACTATGCTTCCTTTATTGGTTTGTTGGTTTTGATTTGGTGTGGTATGCATGTGGTTTATAATTTTGTTATAGATATGTCATACTAACTAAAGAATTTTTATGTCTATTTTGCATAGTGTACCAAAAATGAATCATTAATATTTTTCAATAAAAACCCTATAAGATATGACTTATAATTTTTTTAAATATTTTTCCCGATTTCCACTCATTTGAAAAATTATAACCCTATTTTTTAAATAAAATTCATTAATTCATGCATTTAAGGGTTAACAGTCGCTTCAAACGGTCGGCTGTTTACCATTTTATGGCAATAGGGGCTAGACCTACTCGTGCACTTAGGCTTTCATGTTTTTGGACATGCTTCTGGAATGAATGTCTTTATTTCAGCCGTTTGGCCTAGAAACAGATCTCGATCTTTTCATTATTAGTTGTATTTCTCGTTTTCCCTTTCGACTCACTTTGTTTGTAAGTCAGTGATTCGCTTATTTCGTTTCCATTTACATACTATATATATATACCAAGATTTTAACATAATCTTACACGGTACAACCTTGATAATCCGGTTCTTCAATATCAGAATCATCTGATATTTAAATACTTTTTTCTCCTGGTCGGCTCAATCAAAGGCGAATCATATACAAAACGATTTATTGCACAAATCAATAAAAATGACATCTGACACTTTAACCAAGTAACTGTTTTATTATCCGAACATTTATGTCGCTTAGTCCAGTTAATCGAGGTACTACTGCACTGCAAAATAGACTAGGGAGATAAGAGAGAACAATATAAACGAAACTTAACAATCAATAACTAGTAGTTTTCCGTGATTCTGTGTTTTCTGTTGCTTTAAAAGTCTAGGTTTACGGAATCCAACAAAATAGTCGGTCTCTAATTTTTTACGTTACGTTTATTCAGATTGCAAAGATACATTTATGAGTTATTTGTTCAATATATGTGTCAGTTGCGACAAACATTAGAATAACACTTGTTAAAAATAAGAATAAATGTTCTATTGTTATTTTTTTATGTGTAACATATATTTATATGTTATTGTTATTTTCATAAACTAATATAACAGAGCTACGCTTAGTGTTTCGTAAATGGTCTCTGTATTTGTATATCCGTTTCTTCTCTTCTTTTTGTATATTTCTGAATCTGATCACCGTTTCCGCTTCACACTCTTCGAGAATGTCAGAATGTCCAAATTCAGATGGAACGTCTCCACGCTCGGGTCGAAATAGACCCAAGGCTCGTCGTCGCAGGGTTAAAGAGCGACTTGCAAGGGGACCACACACGGGGCCAGGTCGTTGAGAGTCGGTACCGCAGTCGATTAGCATTCGCGAGCAGCTCGCCGGTGGCAGCGACGAGCCGAAAAAGGGGGACGAGGCATAAATGGTCACGGATCTATCGTCGGCCGATGCACGGACAAAGCCGAGCGTGGACCATAGAGTTGCCACGATGACGTATGAGCCACCGGACCTCTTTGTGTCGCCTTGAATACCTCTTAAATTGGGGAACCAGATGAGGCGACGCGTCGGTGGGGCTACTGAATATCGCTGCTGATACCGCCGCCATCTTCGGATCTGTTCCGCGATTTATCACCGTTCCTTGCCGATTCATTTCGCGCTTTGATCCGCGCGGAAAGTGCATTGGCTTTCGCCCAGGTCACCTCGATGCCGCCTTCTTGGAGGCTTCTCTTCAAGATCGTCTTCTTGGCCACAGTGAATCAAGGTTGAGAAATCGCCTCCAAGCATCTCGAGAATTTCGAGCCAGTCTATCGACGTCGTCGATTGTTCTCGATCAATGCCACGTTTCGGCGACGCCTGCGAGGTTACATTACCAAGATCTGTCAACAAACCGGAATTTTAGCTTCACCGCAACCAAGAACTATGGAGTCAAAAGTGCAGAAGGACACCTGGCGACCCTACTGGGTCCGCGGAGGTCACGTCGAGGACATGGTCTTCATTGGCAAGGACGTGATCGCCTGGTGCATCGGCGTGCACATCGTATTCTTCAACGTGGTGCAACAAAAGGAGTCGATTCGATGGTGCTGCAACAGCGAAGTGGGCGAGGGCGCGCACTGTTTATCAGGTCATTCGAGTCTGTCGATCTTCTGCTTCGCCGAGAGGGTGAACAACCCGAAAATCTTTGTCTATTCGTATCCGTCCATGACTCTGATCACCGAGTGCACTGGCGGCACCAGAAACAAGTACCTGTCCACTGCGTTCACTGCCCGAGACCATATGGTGTCCATTGGATGGTACCCGAACTTCCCTTTGATCGTCTGGGCCTGGAGGACCGGAGAGAAGATCGCCAGAGTGACCACGTTCGTGTGCGACCAGGTTGGGGAGATCTTGAGAATCACTCAGGTTGGACCTACCGTGGTTGCTCAGATGGGCAGGACCTGTGGCAGATTGTACACCTGGGAGTTGGACATTGCCGGGAAGACCGTGACCCTGCAAGGTGAACAACTACAGTAAATTCTCTCAAATAGTCCCTCGGCTTGCAATCGAAAAATGGACAACTAGGGTAGACCAGACACGATTCTTCGAGCCTCGCTACTTGCCTTTATAGATGCCGGCGTCTCGCGAGAGAGAGAGAGAGAGAGAGAGAGAGAGAGAGAGACAGAGAGTTAGAGAGATAGAGGGATAGAGGAACAAAGTGACAAAGGGACAGAGAGACAGAGAGACAGAGGGGCAGATGAACAGAGAGACAGAGGGACAGATGAACAGAGAGACAGAGGAACAGAGAGACAGAGAGGCAGAGAGACAGAGGGCCAGAGGAACAGAGAGCCAGAGAGACAGAGAGACGGAGAGACAGAGGGACAGAGAAACAGAGAGACAGAGAGACAGGGGGCTAGAGGAACAGAGGGACAGATGAACAGAGAGACAAAGAGACAGAGAGACAAAGAGACAGAGAGACAGCGGGACAGAGGAACAGAGGAACAGAGGGACGGAGAGACAGGGAGACAGAGAGACAGAATGAGAATCGTGGCAGTTGGCAAACTTAAAAGTCAGCGGCCAGCACATCAATATCTATTAATACAAATACACGATAATGCTAGAACAAAAGTAATGGCTCAACTGTTTTATTTCTAACTTTTTATATATAAATTTTTTTTTAGCAAATTTGTAAGATCCTTTCAATCAAAATGAGACCAAACACGACATGCTTTAGATCAGATTTATTCAATTACATTGCGATTGATTTTAATTTATGTAGTTAGAAATATCTGTCTAAACTATATCATGTTTGGTCTCATTTTAATCAGGAAACTATCAGCAATATGTTATGACGTTACGAGTCGTCATTTCGAGAATTCTAGTCCTTTACATAAGCGTAGGAATAACGCACACGGGAATAGGAATAGCACAGGGATAATGCGAGCAGACCTTTAACAGGGGCAACGTAGAAGAATTTACTGTAATGCGCTATATACGACTCTTGTCTTTATCAACATTTCTCAGAGCACGAGATAAAACTGCCGTGCCACGATCCAATCGCGTGGGTGGACTGGTCTTCAACCTCCCCGGAGCCTCTGCTGGCAATCACTGACAGAAACGGTCACGTCTACCTCAGCAACTACGATGGCTCCCACGTCTACCGTATCGTCCTCTCCCAGCGCTGCGGCATCTGTTTGGAGTACGAGTTACCGATCATCAACTGGTTCGGCGAGGGGATCATCCTGCGCACTACCTTCTGCCAGCTTCGCTACTACTCGAAGAACCCGAAAACTCACAAATGGAATATGACGTGGTACGTCAAACTAGAGACCAAACCGTGCATCCTCATCACCCATCCCCTCAAGACCGACTGGTGCTTCTATCACACGTTCGAGGGCTTCCTGATGGAGATCACTATACCGAAAAGCGGTGGTCATCCGATGGTAGAGAACTGTCTGAATTATGGCGCTAGTTTCAAGTTCATGGACTTCGTGTACCCCTGGTGTCATCACGTGGTCGGCACGGACAATTTGAAAGAGTTGGTCGTGCTGGAGTCTTTCAGCGGCAGTCAGCTGACCACCGTCGATCTAGAGATCCAGAGCGAGATCACTTGTCAAGCCTCGCATCCTGATTATCCGATGATCGTTGTGGGGACTCAGCAGGGTGAACTGATTTTTGTGAGTTTTGTGGCTCCCGAGGAGCCGAAGATCGTTGCCCTTTTGCGGCTGCAGGAGGGTCCTCTGGATCTGATCAAGTTGTCTTATAGTGGAAGGTGAAGTATCGACGCTAGAACTATCGAACCTAAATATGCCTAATGTACATTGTTTCATAACATCGACAACATCGGATTTATTTATTCTTTCTACGATTTTTATTATAACGCGTGCTTCAACGAAGCAGAAGTTCGTACAAAAATTCCTAACAAAAACAAATTTGTGCTGTCAGGAATTGTAAAAGAGACAAATCAGGAATCGGCCATTCCGACTGGTTTAGTGGTTCTAGTATTAACAAACGTTTGCATTAATAAATATCAATAAAGATCGACTGTCTAATCATCATCTGCGATCGTTGCAGATCGTTGATAGCCGCGGAATCTCAGCGCGGCAATTGCTACTGCATCAACTTGCGTCCAGAAAAAGCGTTCACCGTGCTGGGTATGGTGCAATCCTACAGAAGAATCAGCGACGCGTTGATCTACGAAGGCGCCAGGAGACTGATGGTGCTCTTGCTCATGGTCCATTCGAAACAGCACGGCTTGGGCCAGAACCTGAAGCTGTACGTCGTTCCAGAAGGCAAAGATCTCGTCGACGAGGTTGTCGATACCTTGGATCTATATGTAACCTACCATAGCCTGTGGCATCATCCCTCCAACGCGATGATGCTCATAGGAACGCCGTACATGTCGCGACAGCTGCGGGTCCAGAAACTCCAGGATTTCAAGAGCATGGTCTTGGTGGATGGCTTGTTGACTGGCCACCTTGTCAAGATGGCGAATCTCTTCGTCGATAAACAGTGGCTAACCAGCACTGCCTTCGACGGTTTGGTCTATGTGAGGGACAGGACCCTGCGCAAGGTGGTCGCCTGCTTCGTGTCGCATCATAGAGCGGACTTTGGTAACGTGAAGGCGGTTGCGAATAAGTTCGGAGACCTGATCGTGGTTATGGGGTACGATGGATCCTTGGTCGCCATGATAAAGGTTCAATTTGTGTCTCTGGGCATCAAAATCTTGGGTCGAGTCATAAATAACATCCATTCTTTTATCCATCGTTTTTTCGTATTTATTCTTTTTTGTTTCTTTTTTATTTTATTTAGTTCGAACCATTATCTATTCAGTGAAAGCAAAGACTCGTTTGTCCCGGTGACCCATAGCGATACGAACAATAGCCGCATCGAAAGTTATTTATGACACGACCCAATTAATCGTCGTTTCACAGTTCAGTTGCAATTAATGCTCCTTCTTCCTCCAGCGCAGGATAATACATCCTCGTGTCCTGCAGATGCTCAGTGCCTTCATCGTGTGGACTACACTCTCTACGACAAGAATGAGAAGAAGGTCCAATCGGACTACGCCAGCCTCCCTTCGGAATTCCATGAAATGCTATCAGGTTCTAGGTATCAGTTCCCCGACCCTGAAGAAAACGGCGAGGAGACGTGGTTCAGTTGGAGAAAGGAAGCTCAACTGCAGAGAGAAGTAGCCCAGTGCGAGGAAGAGAGATCACAGATTTTGAAGGACTTCGAAGTGCTGAAAGGCAAGGTGAAGGCTCTGCTGGACGCTAATGAGATCTGTCCAGAGATCGAGAGACTTCCGGTGTCTGCGTTCGACTTGGACAGAGCCGGGCGAGATCAGAAATTGAAGGCCGGTCGTAATCAGTGCGAGGATCTTCATCTGGAGCTTGAGCATGGCATTAGCGAGATGAAGAGAGTGTCGAATTGGTTGAAGGAGACTTTCTGGGATCCTCAGAAGGTGATTGGCAAGAGTTTGGTCGCCATCTTTGGCGACAGAGAAGTGGTGAACTATCCTGAGACCGAGGACGACCCGAGGACTGCCGAGCTGCTGCAGTTCTCGCAGTTTTCCAAGGATAGCGTCTCCATGATCCTCGACGAGGACACTTTCCAGTCGTGGAAGCTGTACACGGACGAGGAGCTAGAGCTGGAGCTTAACAAGTGCATGAAACTACATCACGAAGCGGACATCAAGATGGACATGTTGCTGGAGGAGGAGGAAGATGAGAAGGTGATCTCCGAAATGACACTGGCGAAGATGAGGGCTTTGGAGGGTAAGTTGAGTTAACTTCGCACGATTTCATTCTTTATTTTATTCTTCATGAAAGATCGTCGGCTTGTGTTGTTTAGGGACCATTGCACACCGGTTCATCGACTTGTCATCCTGCTATTCTCAAATGGAATCTTATGGGTTCGGACACGTGATGGTGAACAATCGTTTCCTGTTGCACGACTGCGCGAAAATCCGCAGTTACTTCAACACAGCGTTCGAAGAAGTGTACGCTCAGAAGGAGCGGGAGATGAATGTGATCAGAGATAGGATCGAGAGGATATGTCACATCAATTCAGAGTTGCAAACAATGTTCAGTGGAAGAATCTCCTACATACCTGAGGATCCCATTTGGCGCTGGCAGGTTTGCGTTCTGAATCAATGGTGAATTAACAAATAGTAGGCTAATGGTAAATTAACGAGCAAACAGCTGTAATAGCAGTTCAAATCGATTCTTGAATGACGCCGCATTCGGTGATCGAACATCGACGAAATCGCTGTCGTTGCACAAATTTAATCCTCCAATCGCGTTCTAGATATTTTGTAAAATTCAGCGGAAGAAGGAATTCAGCGGAAAATTAAAAAGATTGTCAAGCTTTAAATATTTCTATCTTTCCTTTTCTTTCACTTTTTTATATCCTTTTCAATCTAATTCTTAGGACGCAACTGCATAAAGCTGGCCCGCGATTTCACACGCTGTTAGAAGTTTCGTACCTCGGTATCTTGTCTCTACATCTTGAAATATATCATTCGCCAGTCGCGTTGAAGTTCAGCGAGTGGCCATCAGATACATTGTCTTCAGCTGGATCGTAGGTTCCTGGTAATCTTCATTTCTCTTTGCGTAGGAGAGCCCAGAAGGCGTTGTCAAGGTGTTCGATCACGAGGTGAAGGCGAGACCGTACATTTCGCCGTCGCAACAAGAACTCCTAGACAGACAGGCGGCCGAGGCAGAGCGGATCAGGCGGTTGTTGCTGGCCGATGATTTTCGCGAACGCGCCTTAATGACGATGATGGACGGCGTGCTGGAGGTTCGATGGGAGGACGTCATCAAGATTGACGTTCCCAAGCCCGCCTGCATGCTCGAGAAGCGACCGGAAGACTACAACGAGGACGACATACTCGTCGTGAAGAAGTACGAAAAAGACGTACTGTTCCTGCAAGAGGAACGCGAACGGTACAACAGGAAGCTGGAGGCGGAGTACACCAAGGTCATGGGACTATTGCAGGAAGGGATCGACAAATTCAACGCTAAGCTCGATCAACTCTTTCGGGTAAGTGACAGAAATAGTTTATAATCTTCTTATGTCATTCGAAGTTACATTTTGGATTTTCGCGAAACTTAATTCTACAAGCAAATGAGCTTAATTCTACTGAAATGATTATAAAATCCAATCGCCCAATATGTCCAATTTGTGATTGCCGTTTTAAGCCTGGCAAAAATTTAGCTTCAAAGCAGACAAAAACGAAATATTTTTAATGCAATGCTGGGCAATTTTATAATTCTATAAATAGTTGAAATTGAACTGAATGTATTCGTATAAATATAATATATTCACTAAAAAAAGAAAACAAAAACAGTCAACAGTTATTCGCATTATTATTCGAGCCCATTTTACAATTACTGTTCGAATAAAGAATACTTCGAATAAATAGAATAATTCATGACGAATAATGAATAATCGTTATTAAAATAAAATATTCGACTAAAACGATAAATATTTTTTATTCGAAGTAATTCGAACAACGCTCAACTCTGGTTTCACTAAGACCATTGCTAGATAAATTAAAAAAGCTATACATTTGTCAATGCCCTGGTGGATTTAAATTTTATAGAAATCGTTGTGAAATCATTTCGAAACTAGATCGAACGCAATGATCTTTACCGTACTGGACGATCTGTTATAATTCGAGAGAGAGACAAAAATAAATTTTCTCTCGGCAATGTCGCGTCGATTATTGAATCTCCACCACAATCCCGTAGCTGAAGATGAACATCGAGTCGGCCATAAATCAGATGCATCTGCGATACGTCCGCGGTCGCCTGCGAAACTATCGTCGAATGGTATCCCTGCGCGAGGAAGAGAAGATCAAGAAGCAGCTCTCGAACAAAGAGAAATACTTGGTCACCTTGCAGAGCAACATGGAAATCTTCAAAAGCCTGCATCAAGAACTGTTGATCCAGCACGAGTTGATCACGACTCGCGAGAAGACGCTGTCCAAGCGGTTCAAGGGCGAGTTTTCTTCCATGAACAAGTTCCACGTGGAACTTCTGGATCGCCAGTTCAAACGTCGACCTAGAGTCAGCCTGAAAAACCTAAGTTCCGCCGAGTTTACGGATCTAATAGCTCATATAGCTGTTAGGAGCAGAGCTGTGTACCTTGCTCATGATAGCAAGGAGTATCTGAAGGCTCTAGACCATCTAGACATTCGGCCAAATGTCCTTCCGATGACGTTAGAATCTGCCGATTGGGAACACTTGGTTAAGGTGCGAAGGCACAAGATCGAGTCAGAGTTGAAGCTCAGAGCGAAGGAAGCGGAGATCGCGGACACTGAGAAAGTGCTCGAAGGATTTCAAAAGAAGATCGAGAAGTGCATTGCTGATATCGAGCAGGTCAAGGAGGACCTCGGTGAGAATCGACGGCAGAGGACGACCAGCGAACTGGACCTTGAGATGCAGTTCGTGATGAAGATGGGTCAGGCGGAGGTCGATTTGACTGGAGAACTTGAGGACACTAAGAACGTGGTGTTGGTGACCAGGGACGAGATACTGGCGGTGAACGCGTTGATAGAGGCTGCCGGGAAGTGCAAGCTGGTGGCTCTCTCGCGGCTGCTGGACTTCCAAAGAGGTGAGCTTTAATGTGTGCAGTACATTTTTTTTCTGTTGGCTTAGCGCATTCACGATCAATTCGCTCATGGAATTATGCGTAAATTTGTTGACGGTTTATTGTGACACGAGGAGTAACTTATATGGGTCTATTGTACATTATAGTATAATAACTAGACCGCGGATCTTTATGCAAAATAAATACTGTCAGAGTTAATTTTAAGAAATATGAATCAGATGAAAATATTTTTTCTCTTTTAACAATCGAGATAAGTTGACAATAATGTAACAATATCCTTAAATTTTTCTAACGTCGTTTCAGTTTTGTATTTGACCCATTCATTTTTGTCATAAATGCATTTATTTTACAAACGATTTATTTTACTGAACATTGATCTTCGTTTGTTCAGTATCAAAAAATTGAAATAATGTTTCTGGCATTTTAAGAACATCCGTCTTTGACATATTTTAATAAATAAATAAATAATCAATTGAATTTAAAGAAAGAAATTTAATCATTCGATAAATATAAAGTTAACCCTAAAACTACCACCGCCGGTCAAATAAGCGGTTTCATATTTTTGATTTCATAATTATTGAACTCATAAGCATAACCTTGACATAAGCATAAAGCTGCTTCCATTAGAAATTGTTAATACATTTCTTTGTTCAGGCACACACTACTACAGAAATTGTTAACATTAAAACTACCACCCCCGTCAAATAAGCAGTTTCACATTTTTGATTTCATAATTATTGAACTCATAAGCATAACCTTGACATAAGCATAAAGCTGCTTCCATTAGAAATTGTTAATATATTTCTTTGTCCAGGCACACGCTACTACAAAAATTGTTAACACTAAAACTACCACCGCCGATCAAATAAGCGGTTTCATTTTTTATTTCAAAAATTGATACACTATTGAACTCATAATCATAACCTTGACATAAGCATAAAGCTGCCTCCATTGGAAATTGTTAATATATTTCTTTGTTCAGACACTATTACAAAAATTGTGAAAATTTAAAATAAATTCTATCTTGTAATTTTCATAATGCAACGCTTGTTAGTCGCTTTTGACGAAAGGGTCAGTAATTAGCTAGCACGTAGTAACTGGTCCCACTGCCCCATTTCACGGTTTTTCCCAGGCACGAAATTGAAAGAGTGGATCCACGGCTGCCGCAAGAAGCAACTGAGCGACCTGCAGGAGGACCTGCGTTTCCTCGGGGTGGTGACCGTGACGAAGGAGATGCAGCAGTACCTGAAGCGGAAAGCCAAGGATCTGCCCGACGACAAGACCTTGGAACGGATGACCGTGGACGTGGAAGCTGCGAAGGCGCAGTGCGAGAAGCTGATGGAGAACCGCAAGGCTCGACTGGCCTCGATACAGAAGGACATCGTGATCACCAGGAGCAAGAACGAGGAACTCGATCGGCGGATCTTCGATCTGAACGTGTCGAGGTGCGACATGGAGCTCCGCCGCGATCATATCGCCGAGGCGAGGCAGCGGCAACACACGGAGAGGAAGATCAGGATGGTCATGAGGCGATCCGATCTGATCAAGAAGCTGCAGGATAATTACGCGGAGCTGTTGGAGCTGCAGACCTTGCACGAGCTGCTCAGGCTGAGGCGATACCCAACGCTCCACTTCAAGTTCCTCGACGACAACGACAAGTAGAGACACGATTCGGACGCAATCTTCTAGGCGTCCTTCTTAACGATGCCCGGCTTTCGCTAGCCGCGTGACGAGATGTTTCTTAGGAACTACCTTTGATTAATGAAGTCCCGCGAGGATACAATGTTGTAGATTGTGATCGCCCGGTAATTGCTGCGTTCATTCGGAATTTTAATTTTGCGTAGAGCAGCCGTATTCGTTGCATGGAGAATTGGAAGTTCGAAATGTTAAGTTCGTTGCAGGTGCATCGAGCGCACCGATGGCGGGAAGTTTTCGGTCGCTTAGATTTCAATTTTACAATTACAATTTCGCGTTAAATTTAGGATCGCAAGCTTCCGAATACGAATTTGCTAATCGATTTAATCAGAAGCTGTCCAAAGTTTCGTTTAACTTTGAATTTGAATTACAATCGAATAGAACTCGTTCAGTTTCAAGTTTTTAACTTTGCTTATTCGCGAGTTCCACGGCCGGACTTCGGCACACTTTATGCGATATACTTGGATAAAATCGGACCCAGTAATTTCGATAATTACCCGGAGCGTTTGACCGCGATGGAAGTATGGTGTGCAGAAAATTTTCGGCGGGTTCGCCGGTGCGGATTTGTTTAACGGACCAAAGCGATAGACCGAATGAATAGAAATAGGGGTGAAGCGGAACGTGCGGTGAAACGGACGTGAATACGTTTATTTTCGGTGGGTTTCGCTAGGTTCGAATACATAATTGGTAAACTCATTAGAACTGAATTTATACCGGACAACCGCGCCGAATATAATTCGATCTTCCGATCATCAAAATTATTGCAGCTACCGCACTGCGGCCGTTTATGCAGATTACCAATTTGAGATACTTATCTACAGTGATTCTCATTAACGTTCGGTTTAAATAGAGTAATTTGTTTCGAATCGAACCAAACGATTCGACGTTCTGCAAACATGAATTTTACGGTACACGTTCGCAAAACGTTCGATTACAGTAATTTCTCCCTAATTCGCGCTCAGATTGCGCACAAAAACGGATAATTTGGGTAGAGAAGATACGATTATTCGAGCATTGCGTCTCGTTTTTATAGTCGTTGTCAATCGGTAACCATAAAAAGCGAGTCGCAAGGCTCGAACAATCGTATTTCCTTTTCCCAAATTGTCGAATTGGGAAGAAATTACTGTACTTCGATTGAATATGCTTTATCGCATGGCGACAGAAAAACGAATTAGAACAGTATTCCCATGATGAAGGAGGCATTGTCTCCGGCAGGTTTACGTGTTCGTGTCCCAAAGATTGTTAAATTACGGCCGCGGGTCGGATTTAATCAGAGTCGCTTAGGCTGGCTCTCACAAAGGACAAGCGGCAATTTGCAGGGCAGCATAAATCACCGGCGGGACGCCTCGGATCCGATACATAATAGGTGTCGGTCGATCTATACACTTTTTCACCATAAATAACTGTACTAATAGTATAGCAGCGAGATGAATGATGCCGCGGTGAACGCGGGCATACCTACGGATCGCCGCGAAACGCTCTCGCGCGTACGAATCAATTTTCATCTTGAGAAATTCCCAGGTGGGCCCGTTTTTTCGGGGATCAACCCCTTGCGTGGACAGAAAGGAACTCGAGACTCACTGTCTGACGATTAAACGTCGGTGTCCAACGTTCTCGTCGCCGGTGTTTTCTCCATTACTCGCGATCGACTTGCCACCATTCATTTTTTACCATCAAAGCTCAATGACTCCGAGAAACTTGTCCGAAACCATCATCGACCATTTTTCGATCGATTATGCTTCATTCTTCGACCCCGTTGGCTTCGTACAATGATCTAAATTCAGCCATTCGATTAAAACATTTACGATTAGATCCAAAGAGGAGAGTAATTTTTGGAGTTCTTCATTTAAACCTCAAGGACCTATACTCCACTATAGATATATAATAAATATTATATTATATTTTATCGTGATTTTTCGAAGATACATCAGCCTTTTATTTTCCGTAAAAAAAATTATTTCTAAATATAAAACTTGCACAGGTATTTGCAGTTTACGAATGGTTTAGAACTTTAATCCACGATTCCATTTACGTAAACCTAAACGATAGTTTTTGATGGTTGAAAAAGAAATAGTTAAACTGATACTTTCAAACATTTTTAATGATCCAACGTTTTATGAAAGAATCTTATTACTATTTTTTTAATACTTTAGTTATTAGTTTAGTTCTTTTTTTCTTTTTTTTTTTTACAGCCCATGCTCGGCTCTCTCGATTAGGGTGCACGATGTCTCCCTAACGTCCTCCGAACCGTAACTAGCACCGAGGCATTTTCTATCGTTTCTCCGGAAGGTGTTCTACAATCGTTCCGATTTGCATCGGCGAAAATAGAAGGGACGCCGACAGGGCCAGGATCACGATCACTGTAAATATTTTCGCTCTAACGATCGTATGATTTTTATTAATGGACGCCCGGAGGCTCCGCGGGGCTTTGTCCCCCGAATATTACGGTGGCCGAGGTGTTATTCATCGACTTCCTCTTCTTGTTGCCGCCGGTAGCCCTGTCGAGTCACGGAATCCGGGATATTTGTGACCGGCGATCGATTAATCATCGTTGCTGACGCTGACACCGGCATAATGCTGTCATCGTTACGCAAGAACACGGTGCACGGTGTTACGAAACGGGAACGGCGACAGATTCTTCTTGTTTCTTAACCGTTTTAGCCTAACTTCGTCCGTTTAGGTCTGGTTGGAAACGTCTCCGGGATTTTGAAAACGATTTCGGACCATTTCACACATTCGTGGCAGAACAGGAGAAACGTGAAAAGAATGATCGTCGCTTCAACTATAAAATAGAATATCTTCCACAATTTTTATCTCGCAGGAAGATTACCTTCACTTCGCAGCCCCTACAGCTAAGCAAGATCCGAGGATAACGATCAACAAAATGGAATTTAATATAAATGAGTTTTACTTCTCTGATTAAAAGTTTAAATAGTGCAATAATTTTCTTAGGCGTTCAAACGTTGACGATTTTTGTATAAAATGCACGAAGCGTAAAAAGATCGTCATTTTGTGATCGATATAAAAGCGAAGACAATCTTAAAATAATCAATTCAAAAGAGAACAAATTTGATTAAAAAGCGACTTCGATATCATCGAGCATCATTGCTACAACTATCATATCTAAACACGTTCGCCATCTTACCGCTCACGAATCTACGCAGTATCAGTAATTATGCGAACGGTCGCGTTAATAACGGCAAATTCAGTCGGTTAACGGATTAAGAGGTCCGACATCGGAAGCAACCGGCGCGACGACCATCGAAGAGCCCAACAAACGGGTGCGCGATTTGAAAATCTCTGGTCGATGGAGCAGAGATCAACGACTGGCGCGGACAGGGTACGAAGAAGCAATATTTGTTGAAGCACGGGGGTCCGAAACACAGAAGGTTTCGCGTCCATCCGGTGCAATATTCCGAGGTGGTTATTTTTCCCACCCCCAGAAGAGTGGTGGGAAAGTCCGCGAGGGGGGAGAAGACGCATTACCAGATTGGCCCGGGCCGCTCGTATTCACCGGTCTTTTACATTCACGAAGCTTTTATTCGGTTGATTTGACTATACGCTTCGTATTCACGGCTCTCGATTTGATTTGCATTGATTGGAGTGCCCGCTTTCCCGATAACCGGCGTGTACCCGGCGTGCGCTGCTCTCCACCCCCGCGAGCCTGATATCGCGCCATCCTGGACCCTTTTCTGGCTCGGTTTTTTTCAACTATAACTCTTAAATTGTGCTTTTCGTGGACCCCTGGCTGGGAGTCTTGCTTGAACCCTGGTGGGGCGGACGACAAGTAAATTGTAGATATTTGTGGGTCGTTCTTTTCAGTTTTTCTGGATTGGAACAATCTCGTCGAGAGAACTTTAAAAGCGTTTGTTCGTTACAAATGAAAAGGAAAGAAGCAAGTTATCAGTGTAATAAGTAGACCGCGGATTTTATATGTTTATGTCAAAACTGTATAGGTTAAACGCGACGATGATATCATTACGTTTCACGTCTCCTTTCGATGAAAATGGATTAAAACTGCGGAGCGAGGAAATACATTCTCATTGCCTATTCTCGACGGATTTACTTAGAAAATTCGTGTACAAGAGTCTGTAGTAAATTAGGGTAAAATCGTGGACTAGGACTTTTCGATTAGGTCGAACCGAAACGGTACCCCCGCGTGTTTCTCGACGAGTCTGCAGGCTCCCCCTCGACCCCCTCGCGAAAATGAGAGTTTACTGCCTGGCAGCTTGGCCGGGTAGAAGAAGAACGCTCCTTTGTCTCTTTATGGTCTGAAAGTGGCCCGTGGATCGAGCGAGAGCCCACGGACCGATGCGGCGCGGCGTCGCCATCGACGTCCAAGCCCGTCTTCTTCTCGGCGAGACCACGAAGAAGTACGGTCGGATAATAACGAGTTTCGCTGTCGTCCCTTTCGGGCCGGCCTCGCATAGCGCGAGTCGTAAAGTCGGCCCTTGCTCCCTTGCTCCCTTGCTCATCTTGCTCCCTTGCTCCCTGTCTACCAGCGATCTTCTGCGTGTCGACCGTTTTTCTTCCCCCGGCCACGGCAGAGACGCGGTGGACGATCGTGTCAAATTTTTATTGCGCCAACGAGCCTCGGTCGATCGTCTCTCTCGCCTTATACGGGTGTCCCGGGCTGCCTGGGACAAGGGGAACCACCCATTCAACAATGGTTTTTCAGAATTCTACGAGTTCGATGGGGGTAAAGTGCCCGGGACATGCAGCGGGTCCCTCGTTCTTCGTTAAAAGTGCAGTACGATGTTGGTGCATCGGGCTGGTGAAACGGTACAACCAGATCATTGTAGTTAGGGTTGCGGAGCCAGTTACGGTGGGGTAGCCAGTTACTCTCCTTTTTGATCATTTTCAAGCATAATCAAGCTTGTATCTATCGAATAAGACATTTTCAAAATTTGTTGTTTCATTTCGATTAATTACTTATTTGTTGAAATTAAACAGGTAAAAGACGGAAGCTCTTAAAATACCACAAATACTATTTCCCCTTTTTTTAAACTGAATTCGCGAAATTTTCTGCAAAGCTTATAAAAATGCTTAAGCATTGTATTAAGATTACGGAGAAACGAAACAGTGATTATTTATTTGATCTTTTGTTTTCAGTTTCAATTTCAGCAGTTCATTAGTTATTATTAGACCACTGATTTTATGTATTTATGACAGAAATGAATAAGTCGAATACAAAACTAAAAAGACATTAGAAGAATTTAATTAATTAGAAGATGGTAAAGCAAAGTAGACGAGAGTGTGTAATAAGAGGTAAAACAAAAGAAGATGACGAAGTTGAGTAAACGAGGATATGCAATAAAGATAAAGATATTGCAGGAAAATAGAAAAGAAGAAGCCACGACTTCGAATATATTTAAAAATAAATATGGAGAAAATAAAGAGTGAAGTTAACAAATAACAGTTCGATTTTGAAAATATTAATTTTAGTGTCGATTTGTCTCTAAAGCGCGATTGAATTTTCTGGAGGGTTGTTTCGCCCTCTGACGGTTGTGCGGAAGGTCTCGATTCAATTTTGCAACGGTCGGAGGATCTAGCGAGAAAATTCGAACACCATGGATATCCGCAACCCCCTCCGCCCTTGGAATTTTGCGTGTCTGAAGTCAGTCATAGCTCGGCTGGACGTCGTTTCGCGTGTCTAGCGTCGGCCGTCCCGGCTCGCCGGAATCTCGAAATTGTAGCTCGTTTTGGGTAATTAAAGGATTCTAGAGCGTAACACGAGGGCTTGTTAGGTAAATAAAGACACGGACGTGGGAAAGGTCCTGTTGCGTGTACGGAATCGTACTTCTGCATTACTTCGCCGATTCCAGCTTGCATATTTTCGCGCCCGTTGATTGCCCGAATGTGTGGCGAGCATTTAACGGCAATTTTCGCCGACCCGGCACCAGCGCGGCGGCGCGCGTCTACTTCGAGGAACTTGCAAAACTGTTTCTGTTGTTTTTCGTGCATCTCACAATCACGAACTCCGTGATCGGCCATCTGCACCTTTCGACTCTCGCCGGGCCTCGCTCGTCCCTGTTTTTTAAGATAATAATGAGCGAAGGACGCTCGAAGGATGCCTTTGGGAAACAACCCCTTGTTGGGAGACAATGGAGCTTATTATCAAAGTTCTTCCTAGAATGCCAAATTTCGGGTTACTGTGGATTCCCCTGTGCTAGTCCTAAGCTTGCGTGATTTATTGCTACGTCGATGACGAGACTTTGTTACTTCGTCTTGGAATTTGTTGATCTTCTTCTTGAGCTGCGGTGCACATGCAGAGTTCTAAATTCGGCAGGCGAATCGCCGAAGAAAAGAAGAGGCTATAAATGCCGAAGAGATCTCTCCGACAAACCGTCGAGAGAGGCCAGTTTATTGTCACTGTACTCGTTTATAGAAATAGCAATTGTATCAGTAGTGTTGATTACGGGCAAGCCTCGCCGTCCCAGCGATCAGCGCAGACGAGCACTTCCACGATTTACAAATAGCGTTGCGAAATAATCACGCATTGTTTCAATTAATTTTGAGCAGAGACAAAAGTTGGCATTGCGGATAAAACAGTCGCGATTTCCACTGGTTTTGAAATTGAAAAATAATAATAATCGCGATTTCATTTTGATTGTTGTGCACAGTAGCTTTAGAGATAGCGTTGCGAAATAAATGCGATCCCGCCTTGAGTTGATCAATTTTCGAGATTTTTAAAATCCTCTTGCTTTCGGAAAGCTGTCTTTTGGATTTTTGTCCATTGAAGTAGCGTTGCATTGACATAATCACGCTGCAGTCGTTTGCTTTCGACTTTGCAGGCGCCTATGCTGCAGCTGCAACAAAGGGCAGGCCTTGCCACCCCAACAACAGCTCGGAGGGCCACATCCGCGACTTGTCATAGCGTTGCGAAATGATGACGCGTTGCCTTAGTTAATTTTGAACAGAAATCGAACTTAGCGTTGCGATTGATTGCGATTTTTCTTTAAATTGTCGAGTGCAATAGCTTCGAATATAACGTTGCCATCTAATCGCGTTTCGACTTGTCAGTTTCCTTAGATTTTTCAAAGACGTTGCTTCTAGAAATTACAGTAATCTTTCGCATGTCTGTTCGTTGTATTAGCGTTTCGACGAAACAATCGCGTTGCAATAGTTCGTCTTTCGACATTTCAGACGCCTATGCTGCAACAATGGACGAGGTTCCAACGAACAACTCGGATGGGCACATCGCGATTTTTCCATTACTGCAGGCAATTTTTTTATGCCTAAAAACTCGCGGTCCGATAATTATATATTCTACAGAATTTTTGTATTATGAAGATGTTTTCATCTGTGGTGCTTTCACAATCTTGCATTTCATCAACTGATTCTCGACAGTAATGCATAAAAATCACCATAAAATTCACTTGTAAATTTACCGAAGCAAAAGATTCCTAGCTATTCGTGAAATCATTGCACGTTGAATTGGAAACGTCTTGTATCATCTGAACGTCGGCTACGATCGTCTGAAGGCGTCTGTTTCCGGTAACTTTCGTAGCGTCGAAGAACATCGTGCACCATGATCACGTGGTACGACTATACGGCAGCAACATTCGCAGATACGTTCTGCATCCGTTAGCTCGGAGCATGGCCGATCGTGAGCCACGACCGAGCACCACCGGTTGCCCTAAGTTTCAGCCTGGGCCGCGGATCTCGCCGGTTATGTTTCCACTCGGTGCCGTCGATCGGCTCGTTTCCACGCGAAATCTCGGCTGCCATTAATTCAGCGCCGGCTGACAGGTCACTCGAGTAGAACCAACCCATCGCAGATATTGCAGGCCGCGCGTATGGCCCCGGCTCCTTCCCATCAAATAATTATTATTGTTGTTTGCTTTGCAGCACTCCGAGCTTCCTCTTCCAGCGATCCGTTCGCTCGCCCTCGACAACCCCCGTCGAAAGAGAGCCGGCAAGAAGAAAGAGAGAGCCGGTGGAACAGCGCAAAAGAGAGAGAGAGAGAGAGAGAGAGAGAGAGAGAACGGTCTCGACGCGATGGGTCGTCGGGGTGACCGGCAATTTGTTTCTAAATTTATTACCGATCACCGATATTCCGTTCTCCATGCCCTCCTCCTCAACCCTTCCTCGCTTTGCGTCGGTGATATCGAATTGGGATCGAGACTCGAGTGCTTGAAACCATCCACTAGGATGATTCGTTGGTTCCTGCGGCTGGGGGTTGGTACCAGGGGTCAGTCTCGGGGTTACTGTAATAAATATCGGGAAAGCTGATTGCGAAGCTCGATGCGTTTCGGACCATCCTGGATCGTGGCTGCCTCGAGAATGTTGTCCCTTTTGTTGCCTTCCATGCGCAACCCTTTATCTTCGCCAGGAGAACAGGCACCCAAAGCGAACGAATTTTTCTCAATGCGGAGTTACATTTAATCCAACTGTTTCGATCTCCAGTCTGCCAGAAATTGAACAACTGTTGCCTTTAGATGCCTTTGCGATGCATCGATCATTTCCTCAAACATCCCTACAGTAGAGTACAAGCTTTCCTTTCTGGATTGATGCAATCCTTCGGCTGCTGTCACTGCAACTGTGACAGGAAGTCCCAGGATATTTGGACGCTATGGACAACTGACGGTACACTCGCAGACTGCTGAAGCAGCGCGCTCAACTTTACTATTTTTTTTAATTTCAAGGCGTAAACATAATCTACTAAGTATAATAAAGCTACACGAGTATAATAAGCATTTATTTAACTTTTATTTCATATAATTAAACGGCGCATGTTATTTTGTTGCAAATTTATAAATCAGGCATAACCTTGACATAACCCTGATATAACTTTAGCATAACCCTGACATAACTTTGACATAACCCTGACATGAATTTGGCATAACTTTCGGCATAACTTTGGCATAACCTTGGCAAAACTTTGGGCGTTTAAACTACAAAAATAAAGATCTTGTGTAGGATGACGTTTTATTGGTTTCCTAAAATGTTTAAGTTAATATTAATAAGAAAAGTATATTCATATTATTCAGAAAAATCATTATAATCTTACAAAAATTATATTATGTTTGATCTTATTTTAATCGGGAAAGGCTCACGGTTGCATTGGAAAATCCGAAAAAAATAAAGTTGAACTCCGAATCTCGACCCTGCCTGCACCATGCTCGCACATCTAATGTGAACACCGTCAATCGAACACGCTGCTAGCACGACCCGAGCCTAGCAGATGTGTATCGACCCTAACACTTATAGTCTTATTGTTACTTTTATACACTAATATAAAACAGCTGCTTTTAGCGCTCTATAAATCTAGCATTAAATACAAAAAAGTTTGATAATATTAATATTATTTTGAAACGTGATATAACAATTTTTAATGATGCCTCAGAGTCGCCACTCGACTGCAACGGGTTCATATCATATTCATTTGATAAACAACATATTTTAATGCTTGGTTCTCACAAATTCCGATGTCCGCGGTCAAGGGTTAAAAATCGACGCAGCGTCAATGGAACGATCGAAGGCGATGCCGATGATCACGATGATCAGACTCCGGTGACCGAGGCCGCAGGAAAAGCCTACTCCGTGGCGTTTCGATTAGGGTGAACCCGGGTTTGCGTGGCAGAATGTTCCAGGTTCTCACGTTCACGTGCAGCCGAGGGTGCGCGGTCGGGGGAGGGTAAAATAGTCGCTCAGCGAGCGAGAGGAGCGGAGGGAGAGGGCGGTTTGCAAATAAGAAGTGAAAAAGATGGAAGCCCGGGTCCGGGGCCGAACGAGAGCGGGCGAAACCACCTTAAATACAGGTCACGCGTGTTTTGGTCGGCCGTTTTATTTTCCTCCTTGCGCCACGTCCTTCTCTCGTTGCTCCATTCTCTCTTTTTCTACGTTTTGATACGGCGCGGCCGCCGTGTTTACCTGCTGTCCGCGTACAAAAGTCATCGTTAGAAGGATTCCACGGATGGGAACGCGGCAGCACGATAACTTCCACTGGGAACACCGAATTCCGTAATTATCGACGGTTTTGATTGTGCCGGCGTCCGTTCGCGCTGCCCTGGCTCATATTTTTTTCGAGCGACCCCTTCACATTTATCTTCCTGATGCATTTAAATAACTGCTAGCTTCGCTCGACCACGAGAAATTAAATTATTATCTCCTCTTAAAGGAATTCTTGACATCTATCATTTTGATGCAAACGGGTTTGATACAGTTTCGTTCGAGACTGCGAAAAATAAAATTATTATACTTCTTAAGCGATTCCTTGACTATCCGTAACTATAAACCACTGCTCGTTTAACCCGAGAAAGATAACCTACGTCGCAGAGGCGCCTGCGAAATAAACAACTGACTGCACCGTGGATGACGCAAAGACTGGAAGCACCCACTTTGCCAAGGCATGTGCGAAGCAACATTGAAAATAGTCTTCCAAAATCTGCTGTACAGGCTTCCACAGATGATGAAGAAGAACCCTCGGCCAAAAAAAGGCGTTATTGCAGTCTTTGCACGTCTAAAAAGAAAAGAATGTCAAAGATGACCTGTGCCAAATGCAAAAAGACAGTTTGTGGTGAACACAAGAAAGACGTTTGTCATGACTGTCTCTAAAGAAATTTTTTATAATATTATAGTTTTTTTTACACTGATTATATTATAGTCTACTAGTTTGTAAGGATAAAACACTATTTTTTGTGATATTTTACGGGATTTGTTCCCATAAACCGAAGACTGTTGATTTTTGTTAATTTTTCATAGAGGTCTAGTGATTTAAGTTTAAAATTACTTAAAATATAAAAAAATATAATATAAATGCATTTTATTTTTACAATAATGCCAAACCTTTAAAATTAGATTAACTTAAATAAATATCCATTGTTAGTAGAAAATTGACGCCTTAGAAAAGCATGCGCCTCTGAAGCGTATGGTTATCTTTTACGTACGTTGTCATATGGTTATCTTTCTAGGGTTAAACAACGAGCTTCAACGATTTCTGCGCAGGTTGTATCTTTCTGTCTGAATTTCTACGCAGAATTTCTATTTCTGTTGCAATCAAGCTCGAACTGCCAGAACAATTGTGAATTACCAAAAAAATAATAAGTACTTCCTGTCCATTTCACGTGTCCAAAGATTTCTTCGGATTTCTCGCGATAATCTGCGAAAATCGGAATTGGTGGGTAGAATTGTGGTTCGCATACAGGTATTTTTCCACGGATCGGCCTGTGGAAGCCGTAAACGCGTGCTCTTACGCGGAATTCAGTGGACGGCCTCGACAACTGTGGGAATGACGGCCGTAACGATTCAAATTACTAATCGCGGCTGTTCGCGTGCTCACCGAGACGTCTGTTGCAAGCGTTCAGGACCGAATTGTGGCGTTCACGACCGGTAGAGATCCACGAAGAAGGGGTGGCGCGAACGGAATTACAGAAATTATGCTGCTACGCGCCGCGACCATTTTTATCCCGCGATGGCAATCCGTTGTCCTTGCTTGCGCGCTAAGTAGCCCCTCGATTTCGTTGCTTCATACCGTCGAGTATGCTGTGAATCGGATCTGGAACATTCGACAGTGAGTCACGATTTTCTCGAAAATCTAGTCCCATATTTGTCATTCTTATAATTATCATTCTGTATTTTTTGCTGGCTTAATCTTTTGATTTCACAGGATATTCTTCTATAATTGAAATGAGGGTGTCACGAAAGCACCATTAGGGAGGCACATTTGAGCGGTGAAACGATTCGTCTTTCAATTTCACGAATTTACGTAGCGAATCTTCATTTCTGAAATGAGTAACGTAGAACCATAGCGGTGCAAGTCGCAATTTCGAAAATGTTGACTTACGTCTAAGAATGTAATCTACGCACGCCAAACTGTTAAAAAGGCAGGTGAAATAAATTTTGAATTTACTATAAAGTAACGTAACTCTAAATTTTCTTAGCAATTTTTGTCGATACAGGTTACTAAATGATAACACTCCTTGCTTCTCACAATGAAGAAAATGTAATTTATGTTACTGCTATTCTAACTCAATTAATTGTAGCTGAAATTGAATCTGCCTAATTGAATCCTATGGCATTCTATGCACAAATTTTGTTTCAGTTCCATCACAGACACTAAGTGTGTTTCTTAGCTGCATTGCTGGGTCCTCGTAGGCCCGCCATTCGTTTCAAATCGACAAAAGCGCGACGTTCGCAGAAATTGTGCATAATGGCTTTCGAACGGTAATGTTGGTAGGAAAATTCCGTGAATACGCGAGCGTACGAATGGACCGTCAGCTCAAGTCGCGTTTCAGGGTTGTCTGAGAATCGCAGGAGGATGCAACGTCGCGGGCATTCAGCCCAATCCGCCGAAAAGGAACGAGGGTGCCGTTCCGGGGCCATTCCTCCATCGTTGCATACGTAAGTGCCCGTTGTTGTTCGCCACGGAACGCAGAAACACGTCCAGCTTACCGGGGATTAATGTCACGCTAAGCACGGTCCACTCGATACCAGAGAACAGCATAAGGAGCGATAATGCGCACTTTGGAACAGCTACTAGCTTCTTCGCATGTCGCGTTAGGCTATTTCACGATGGTATCGTGGGTTGCTCAATCCTAAACTGTCGGAACCATGCGTTGGAAATGGCAGAAAATTACTTCAATCATTGATAATTTTAGTACATCAGTTTTGCATCCATTTGTCCGTCTCCTGGCGGCTTATTATGCAAGCTGGTTTTTGTTTCTTCATTATTGATTGGAACGTAATTATTAGGTGATACCGACATGGTCATGACAAGGTTCACTGTTTCTGGAAGAGAGCGGTTACGCGATGCAAATTGGGCCATAAAATTGTTTATTTTAACGTAGAAGGTCAATTTCAACAGCTATCCTAAAATTTAGGATATCAAATAGATCCAGGAAAATGATTTAGAGTATTAATACTGGCTAAATTTTACGCCAATAAATTGAGAACTTGAGCTACACTTAGTATTCTTGAACTTGAATATCTACTTTTCTCAAAATGTTGGATCTCTGAAAGCATAAATTTCATTAAAAAGCGTAATATAAAGAGATCATACATGTGCATATATTACTGCGGTTATGTATTTATTACTGCGAGCCAAATACTGCGGGCGTTCCGATTACTGCGCGTCGAGGTCGACATATAACCCAATTTCTTTTAAATGTACACACACAGCTACAATTCCTAGGATCAAGCATTCTCACTATAGCACTTTACAAATTAGCTATAGGTACTCTACGATCAAGCGTATTCGCACCGGCTCATAGAGAACTGCACTGTATAGGTTAGGGTACGCAGTTCAGGAAAGCACCGCAGTAATGTACACTCATAGTAAAAAACTGTGTGCCAAATACTATGTTAGTAAATAATATTTGAGCATAGATGATAGCGACAGTGTTCGTCGATTTTCTATCAAAGTAATGATTACTTTATCTAAAAATAACGCCAAAATGAATAGCTTATTATTAATTACCAAAATATGAATGCCTTCCGAATCAGCATTCACAGCTAGCAATTGCGAGTATTTCATAATACTCGACGTTTTCATAAGCTTCCAAATATCAAAAGTCAATAAATGAATTAAAACTGCGATTGTTATTACTTGTTACTACTTGTTATTACTTACTCATAAATTATCTATATTAAACATGTAAAAAGTTATGAGATTTATTTCTAGAAGATTACACACTATAAAATGTTCGATTCTATTACTCTTACAAAATACCGCAGTAATACCACACTTACCCTAATT